ATGAGTTAATACCAATATAAATTAAAGTTTGTAGATTATGCTAAAAATATAAATTGACATTAATTTTATATATACATGATCATTAAATATTTAATTAAATACTACCACTAAAACTATTAAATATAAATAAACTTGAATTTATTTTGATTTTTAAAAAGTGGGATATATGTCAAAAGTATAGTTGCCACATGGCAGCCTCTCATAGTTTTGGTTTTGAAGAACCTTAAAATATTATATAAGAAGATACAGTAGCCCATGATGAGTGTAAAACCATGTTCTTAATCATCGATTCTATTTTATATATGAATCAATAATCTTCTATATACTGTATAAAAGAAAAAGACKRTTRATTAATAAAATTGAATRKAAATTAATATTAACTTAAGWGRYTTGTATATTGTGRRTTAATAYAAATRTAAAGTAAAGTTTGYAGATTATGCTAAAAATATAAATTGACATTAATTTTATATATACATGGTCATTAAATATTTAATTAATTACCACACTAAAACCATTTAATATAAATAAACTTGAATTTATTTTGATTTTTAAAAAATAGGATATATGTCAAAAGTATAGTTGCCACATGACAACTTCTCATACATTTGATTTTGAAGAACCTTAAAATATTATATAAGATTCTTTTTCATTATGTAGATTATAATAGGTAACTACGTTCTGAACATAGTTAACTATGTTTGTGTAAACAAGTGTCTATTTCATCAATATTTTCTTGTAGTCAATTATGTTATGTAACTGTTAAAGTAGACAACTGTGCTATGAAAATAGCTAACTATGGTTTTAAATTGGTAACTATTTTCTGAAAAATATTTAACTATATTTTAGATAGTTACAAACTAGTGTGAGGTAGCTAACTATCTTCTGAGATCAATACAATATGTAGTTCCGAAAATTGTCAACTACGTTATTAAGAATATGTAAGTTCGATAATAGTCAACTATATTATTAAATAGGTAAGTGTTACAACATATTGTTTTTAGTCATCTTTTCTGGCTGTTTTCTGATCTAATCTTATTTTGTTTGCAGGGCAATATATTTTTCAGAGATAAAGACACGTGGCAATTTTTTAGAGATGAAAAGAATATAATTTTTTGGGATTTTTTTTATGTTTACCTTAATTTTTGGGATTTTTAAAAATTTTTAGAGACGAGAATAATATAATTTTTTTGATTTATTGATCATTTCCTTAATAAATTTCGTAAGGATAATTTCATCCGAATATATTTTCTCTCTACTATTTAGTTAAATCCAATTATCAATATGTTAGTTTTTTAATTATAGCTTCCAAACGTAATATCGAGCTAGTTAACCCATTTAAATAATAACGAGAAATGGTGATCTAAGTCTTTGATTTAACTTTGTTTTTAATTGAGTTATCTAAAATTTATGTTTTAGTTGGTGCTGTTTATGATATTTGTTTGCTATGATGTGGTGTTTAGGGTTTGATTATCACTCTTTGCTTTGAATGATGTCTTAAAAGATTTTTTTTATTCTTTAAGTGATGTTTTTGTCATTTTATGCATAATAAATTGTCTTTTTTTTTGTTAGTTGAATTGTGTTACATAGATAATAATTAATGTTTTATTTCATAAAACAAGAAAAACATAAATGATTTTTTGATCAAAGTGTACTAACTTTAAACATCACTTATAAACAACCAGAAAAAATAATATATAATGCTTCAACACATACATACGTCAAAAAAATTACTAAAACAGTTTAAAGCTTTTAAATATATATTTTTATGAGAAATTTTAAAAAATGCCATTTTTTAAGTGTCATTTTACAAAAATGCCACATTTTTGAAATCTTTACAAAARTSYYACTTTTTCAAAATTWTYTTTTYTTTATATTATTTATGTTTGRRTTAATTATGTTCTATTAGAGTTTAGTTTTGAGTGTTTAGGGGGTTTTAGGTGTCAAAACATTTTTTAGGATTTAAAATTTTAAGATATAGGCTTTATAAATCTATAATTAGTGGCATTTTTGTAAATAGATACTTCTAAGTTGCATTTTTGCAAATGTGCATACAAAAAGTGATATTTTTGTAATTATCCCTATTTTTATGTTGTAGAACGATAATAAT